AGGAAGCAAGCTATGGAGGCCAGAAAGGGAATGAGGACAAAATCACAGCAGAGAAGGACATGGAAGCTGGGAGGGCAGTAGGAGAGCGGAGGAGCAGCACAAGCTGAGACTGCTGGAGCAGCAAACGCAGCCGTTTCAGTGAGGAGGAGGCACCTCTTGTATTCCCACCATCAGTGGAGACCCAGGGAGACGCCCTGTCCCAGTGCTTCTCCCTCCGTGGCTCTTTGCACTCCTGCAAGATCCTGAAGGCCCTGTGCCGAGCGGGGCTGTCCCTGGGGGAGCTCCAGGCAGGGACCCCCGTGGCACTGTCTTCCCTGTGCTCCCACAGCAATGGGGCTGTGCTGCGGGGGAAAGGTTCAGCCGGGACCTGCTCAGCGCTGGTGGAGAGAGATCGCTGCGATGGGGGACGTGGTGGGGGGACCTCCGGACAGCTTGGTCTGATCTGCACAGGATCAAAAGCCTGTGACACAAGCCTGGGTTTTGATCCTAGCACTGGGCAGGGCAAATGCACCCTCTGGATCAGGAATACGTTCTTTTCCTCTGCGTTTTGCTTCTTTTGGAAAATATAGCTATTTTCCCCAAGTACTTTGATGCTTCTCAAATAGATGCTACAGCCCAAGAACTAATTCTGTCTCCTCCCACCGGTCACTTTCCCTGAACCACAAAACATGTCAGTCTGCCACTTCTCCCATCTATCCACTTCCAAGTTGCCATTTCTACTTGGGAAGCCACAGCAAGAAATGGGGATAAAATGCTGGGCCACCATGTGCTCAGACCAACCAGCTCCCTTCCCACCCACCAAGGACCCGAGAGAAATCTCTGCTGCCATCACTTGAAGACACTGCATGCATCGACTCCACCATCTCTCCTGCAGTCTCTCCTTGCCATGTCTCCAAGTGATAAAAACAGAACCACAGCTTGCCCCACACCGCTCACCTCCAAAGCCTGCCTGCCCCTAGAAATCCTTCCCCCCCACCCCTATTTCCTTCAGGCAAGACACACAGCTGAGACACAGAAACGAGAGAGAGGAAGATGACGGACAGTCTGCTGTGCAAAAAAACAAACCGAGGATGAGGAGACGCTGGGAAGGACGGGGGAGACGCCTTTGGTCCCACTCCGGCACGTAGGTAGGCACACGCACACACGCACACGCTCCTGCTCGCATCCTCTCACGCACATGGAGGACGCGCCACATGCTTCGCAGACAGGCCCGTGGCGGAGTCAAGGGTAGCAGGGGTGGGTTGTCACATCCAGAGACACCGGGTGACAGCAGGGGGGAGGTGGAGGGGGGTGGGGTGTCATTCACAGGTTACTTTCGTGGTTTTCCTCTGTCTCGACAGTCATGGGGGGCAGCCCCCCGTTGTCATTCAGCCGCTTGGCCCTGTAAGTCTCGTAGTGGATGTTGTGGGTCACTTCTTTTAGGTCCTGAAGGTGGGTCCTGCAGGGGGAAAAGTGAAGGTGGGGTTGGAAAGAGAACACGATAACCAACCTCAGCACGGTCAGTGTTAATCTTCTGATGGTCATTTTATTCCCTGAGATAAATGGGGGATTTCTGCAGTCAGTCCGGCTCCCCCTCTTTCTGCGTGTGTGCCATCATACACAATTGAGAACTGGAGCATCGGCATTCGAGAACACACGTGCAGGATGCAGGCAGTGGGCTGAAATCCCTGGCAGTGCTGGCCAGTGTCCTGCCCCTCTCACACCTGTGCTGGTGGGACAGCTACTGGCCGTCCTGGTGTGTCGGACCAGATGGAGCTCGTCTCACCTGAAGCAGTGGTGAGACAGGGTGGCACTAGGATGGTGTGCCAGGTCCACTGCGGACCATAACCCGTTGAACACTGCCATGAGCCACAGTCCCTAACCTCCATAGAAAGACTGTGCACTCTCTTGGCTGGGATGTTTTTACTGCAAGACTTAGGGAAAGCAAGTCTGCTGCAGAGAGTATCGTATCGCAGAACAAAAAGAGGGCAGTAGGGTGATGTAAAACCATTGTACCTGGCCAAGTGTCTCAATACCACCATACCCACAGGTGGAATGAGCTACAGGGCTCTGGCTTTGAAGTGTGTTTCCCTTATTTTCTTATTTTTGGTGTTGTTTTAAAACCTTATTTTATTTATAGGGAACAGAGGTGACCCTGGATCTGCAGCTCTTCTACGGAATTTGGAGCAGATATTGCTTGTGCTGAGACAACTTCATGAAACAGAATAGAAATAAGACAAGACAATGAAAGCTGAATGAAATACGGAGCTTTTCACTTCCAGGTCATGTGTTCCAGCACATCCCTCAGTCTGGTAGGACACATGGTCTAGGATAGGGTGGTGGCCTCTTTCTCACTGACTCCAGCCCAGACCTGTTGTCAGCAACGAATACAAGTTGTTGCAGCCTGATATCCTTAATGGGATGTAATGGGGGTGATATGACTCTGCTTTTCTCCAGGCATCCAGCTCATACATGAAAATTAGCACCTACTTGACACAGTGGTGATGTCTCTAAGAGAGGCACGAGAGTATCTGCCCCTTAACTCAGTCCAACCCTACCCCACATAAGCTTTCACTGCCTGAAATGTGCTTTATTTTCCTTTCCATAAGGGTCTCAGAAAGACTCCCTGCTCATCAGGAGCAAACTGGTGCATGCCCATGGCCTTACCTGATGACAAAATCTCGAAGTAGGGCAAATTCACAGTGAGTGAGGTTTTCCACTGAAAAGAAAGCAAGCAATTGTTATGCTTGATTTTTTTCAACAACCGCTTAGTGGTTACAGGGCATGGGAAGGTCATGGCCATGGGGCAGGTTCCAGGTGGGCAGAGCCTACCTACTTCGGAAAGGACAGACAGTTGTCTGGACACCACACTGTCATGCATTGAGGAGACAGGCTAAGAGGTGCTGAGTGCTCACGTATGAATTTTCATTTGAAAACCAAGGCAACCTCAGGAGCTCAGGTTCACATACCGTGGTGTTCGGAGTGGCTCCAGCTTCTGCCAGTTAGTGGTAGTGGTACCACATTGACTGTGGCAGTTCCCTCCCAACAGAGCTATTTAAGACTTCTCCTCTTGCTTGGTTTCAGAAAGTTTATCACAAAAAGGATCACAGAATCACAGAATCACAGCATGGTCGGGGTTGGAAGGGACCTCTGTGGATCATCCAGTCCAACCCCCCTGCCAAAGCAG